AATGGTACAGAAGAAGGATGCTAAGGCCTATGGGAACTAAATCATGAAGGGTTTTACTGACCGATTGAGCAGGGCAGAGGATTCACTACTTGACCTAAGGGTACCACTGGAAGCTTTCAGAGCAGGAAAGTGACATGGTCAGATTTGGGTTTGAGCAATATCAATCTGGCGGCTGAATAGAAAATGGATTGGAAAGGGAAGAATTCAGAAACTTTCTCTGCATAGGCTATGAATGTATATCCTCTCGTTGAAGGCCCTCACATACAGTGGCCTTAGGTTTATGGAATTCAGCTGAACTGCTGGAAGGATGAAAGAACTTCTCTAGATGGCTGGCCTTGATCATGGGCCTTAGAAAGAGAGGTGAGCACCCAGGAGAACGTAAGCTTCTTGAAGATAAGGCCATTTACATTTTTTGTCTTCACATCTTCAGTGCTAAACATGATGCTTAGAACAATAATGTTTTTTTTTACTTGAACCTATTTTTTTAAATTAACCAACATTTATTTTTCTCTTCCTTCTACCTCTCCTCACTGAACAAAAAGAAAATCCTCATAACCAAATTCCCCCATTAGTCATGTCCACAAACATGTCTCATTCTGCATCATTAAAGAACTGTGATTTCATTGTGGAATTCCCTAGTAGGAAAATGCTCTCCATTGATACAGTTGGTAATTCATGTCTCAGAGAGTTTCCTGAGCCATTGAAGTTATGTGAATCAGCTAGGGTCACACCACTAATGTCAGAATCTGGGCTTGAGCCCAGGTTTCTTCATTTCAAGGCCAGCAGCCCGCTCTGTCCACTACACCATGGTAGACACTTTCATTCAAATCTGGTGGAGGTCTTTATTCCTCTTAATATTTGATCATGTCAGAAAATGTGGCCATTCTTGAGATTAACCTTGGAATGGTGATTATGGAGTTAAAATTTTATCTGGACTTCTAACTGGTAGACTCATTTGAAAATATATTAAGCAATCCTTCTGCTCTCCTCTTCCACCCTCCTTTGCCAGTCTCCTGTGTATCATTTAGGGGCATGAGTCATTTTTTCTGCAGTTCCTAGGCAGAAAATTTTGTAATTCTTTGAATAATGCTTTTCAGCCCAAACTGTGCTTGCCATCTAGTGGTTAGCCCTGGGCATTACAGGACCCAGCTTAAAGCCCTCCCACATAAAGCTGCCTTGCCTTGGAGAAAAATCCAAGCTGCCTGTGGCTCTACCTAGCAGCAATGACCTTGACCATGCTATGGAAAAAACAAGCTTAACTGGCACCCTGAAAGGAGTTGACTTGTCCAGAAAGTGTCACATGGTCCAGCTTCCTGTGATGCAAGGACACCCCTAGCGAAATCTGTCTTCTGGCAAAGGAACCATCAAGAATGTTTGTTGTTCAGGTTTTTTCAGTCATGTCTTACTCTTTGTGACCCCATTTGGGACTTTCTTGGCAAAGATACTGGAGCATTTTGCCATTTCCTTCTCCAGCTCATTTTACAGATGGGGAAACTGAGGCAAACAGGATGAAGTGACTTGCCCAGGGTCACACAGCTAGTAAGTGTCTGAAGCTGGATTTGAGCTCAGGTCTTCCTAATTCTAGGCCTGATACTCTAGTCTATTCGCTGTGCTACTGAGTAAATTCAGAAAAAATTAGGAGGAGTTTGAATTTTACTGTAGAGGCAATAGGAAATCACTAGAGTTGGAGGGCAGGTTGGATTACTCAGATGTGTCCTTTAGGAATATCTAGTTGGTAGCCAGATGAATAATGGATCAGAGAAGAGAGAGTGGAATCAGGAAAACCAGTTGGGAGGTCATTGTACCCTGTGAAATAGGGAGTGACGGTATAATCATTGGCCCCACCCCTGCTTTATAGATGAGGAAACTGAGGCAAACAGAGGTTAAATGACTTGCCCAAAGTCACACAGCTAATAAATGTCTGAGGCATATTTGAACTGAGGTCCCCTAACCCCAACTCAATCACTCTAACCATCAGACCATACTGCTGCCTTGATATATTTTTATATTAGAGTGTACCACATTGGCAAATCCTAAATCATTGGTTTCTGCCAATATAAGGATACAAAAAAATTCAATCCAAATTCAATAGTTATTAAAGAGTTTATTGTATTCAAGGAATTCTGCTGGAATTACAAAGACAAAAAGAAGAAATTTAGCCCCTGCCTCAGGGAGTTTGCATTCTACTGGTGGATACAACAACAATAGCTATCCATTCATCCATCCGTTCATCCATCTATCCATTTATCCACCTATCCATCCATCTATCTGTATGTATGTGTATATATATATATATATATATATATATATATATATATATAATATGTATATGTGTATGCTGTACACATACATACTGTATGGGCAGGTAGAGAAGGAAACAGATTAATTTGAAGAAGGAAAGACCAGTAAAGGCTCCCAATAAAAGGTGATCCCTTAGCTGAGACTTGAAGGAAGCTAAGAAATACAAAAGGCAGAAGTGAGGAGGGAATGCATTACATACATGCAGAAAAGTCTAGATAAAAGCTTGGCAGTAGGAAAAAGAAAAGAATTGCTCTGCATATAAATGATCCTGTGGCACACATCTGCTCTTGGGGGCAACTGGGTGGCACAATGATGACCTGGCCAGAGTCAGGAAGATCTGAGTTCAAATCTAACCTCAGACACTTACTAGCTGTGTGACCTGGGCAAGTCACTTAACTGCTGTCTGCCTCAGTTTCCCCATCTGTAAAATGGAGATAATAATAGCACCAACCTCCCAGGGTCGTTATGAGGATCATATGAGAAAAATAAAGCACCAAAAACAGTGCCTGGCACATGGTCGGCAATTAATAAATGCACATTTCCTTCCTTCCTTCTGGATTTTGGTCTTTCTGCCCCAATGTGGAAAGGTGGGCTTAAGGCAAAGATATTTTATATTTTCACTGTGAAAAATGATAGTTTTAAACAAGGTATGATTTAAAAGGGTCATTTTTTAGTAGTGATGATTTAGGATTTTTCTGAAAGTCTCAGATAATCTGAATGGCAATGATGAACCTCATTCAACTATCATTATTGGAGTTCCCTCTAAGGCCATATATATGGGGTTAAGATTGTAAGATCTCTCCCCACTGGGATGACTTGGAAGGTAGTGAGTTCCCTGTCACTGGAGATCTTCAAGCAGAGATTGGAATCAGATGGAGATCAGGCTGAATCTTAACATTGTGCAATCTAATACTGGAAGAGGTCTCAGAGGCCCCTGGGATCAATTCCTTCATTTTCCAGATGAAATAACTGAAGTACAAAAAATAAGTAACTCATTCAGGATCATAGAGCTAGTAATGGTCGGAGGCAGTATTTGAACTCAGATCTTCTTGATCTGTACCCTAACCTTGTCCTGTACCCTAACCACTACACCAAGATGGCATCTAAAGTCCTTTTGAACTCTGAGAGTCTGTGATTCTCTGACCATGTTACAGGGAAACAGTATTTAGAATGAGGGTTCTCTAGAACTTTCCATAATAAGTAAGCCCAGATGGTCCTCAAATGGGATTTGCTTTGGATTGATTCTTGCCTTCTCTGAAGTTTCACATTATAGCACACAGGTATAAAGGATCCCTATTTCACTGCCAAATTCAGTTATATTTTTGCTTCCTTTTTGCCTTAATAAATGTTTATTAATTGATATTATATATATATATATTATATATGATTATCTGTAAATATAAATTTGGCTAAACTCATGTGGGGCATGGATAGATATCTGGGATCTGTCCCATTATGACTTCTGTCTTGAGGGAAACAGAAGGGCTATGGCTTGGTATTTATGCCTTTACTCACTTATGTTGAAGAAGGGTATTGGGTTCAAATTATATCCATCAGCCGCACTTGAAATATTATTGGTTTGGGAGGGTTAATATTTTCGGGGGCTCAAGATTAATGTCACTTTTCCCAATTGCTCTCAAGGGGAGGGAAATGCTTAATTTATTATCTACTATTTAGTTCCCTCTTACCAAATGCTGGTTACAGGAAAAAAAAAATCATGAATACCTATTAAGCCTTCTTAAGCAAAGTGGTAAAGAGAAATTGGAGAGGCTATACAGATTGGGGTAGAGGACAGAATGTATCAGAGTAAATTCGTTTTTTTGGCTTGGGAGCAAGATAAAAGTCATGTCAGCTCAACCCCGGAGAGATCTCACTAGAGTGGAATCCCTCTTGGTCTGTACGGTTGTAAGCACTGGAAGTCACAAGATGTGTTGAGGGGATAGGGGCAATTTCCTCTACATGTCTTCGGCTCTAAGGTCTCCAATTAGCCTTCCAAAAGTTTGCAGCTGCCTTTCAAGGACATCTCTCTCCAAGTCCTCTGACCATCTGAAGATGTCCAATCTCCTTCACTGAGAGATGCTGTGTTGTGGCTCAACATTCTCTCAACCAACAAGAGTTACATCCCCCTTCAGGAGGACAAAAAGATGGCCTTCATTGTACTGCCTCACCTGAGTGAACAGATGTGATCATATGTATGTGTATATAGATGTACATATATATTTAATTATGTAATGCATAAACATACACACACAGAGATATCTATATGGATATTTTATATCTAGAGAGAGAGAAAGAGAGGAGAGAAGGAAAGAGGGAAGGGGACAGAGAGCTACAGAGGAGAGAGAGGGAAGGAGAGAGAGAGGGAGGGAAGAAAGAAGAGAGATAGGAGAGAGGGAAAAAGGGAGGGGGACAGAGAGAGGAGAGAGAGGGAGGGAAGAAAGGAGAGAGACAGGAGAGAGAGAAAGAAGGGGAGGAGGAGGAGAGAGAGAGAGAGAGAGAGAGAGAGAGAGAGAGACTTATTAATATGTATCTTGCTTCCAGCTATAAATGTTCTGGTATCCTAATATTCTGAAATATGATCAAATTGGTTTGACGGGCTCTTCTATGTACTTTCTGAAAGCCATCTGACTCGCCTGAATGTTATTTTAAATGAATGCTTATCATACTGTTGGGTATCTTTTGGCACTTGACTTTTGCAGAGAGGGCCAGAGGTACCGAGTGTATGTGGTGATCCCACTCCTGCCTGGGTTTGAAGGAGACATTTCAACAGGGGGTGGAAATGCACTCCAGGCCATCATGCATTTCAACTACAGGTAAGCAAGTTCAAAAGGGCAGTTGGCATTTTGATCTTGTGTACTGATAGAACAGAAATAATTGTCTCTCCACAGGAATTCAGCCAAATTTTATTTTAAAATAAATAAATAGCATTTATCCAGTGACTTAAGGTGTGCAAAACACTCTATAAACATCGCATTCGATCCTCACAACAACCCTGGGAAGTGGGTAATATTATTATCCCCATTTTACAGCTGAGGAAACTGAGGTAAATAGAAGCTAAGTGACTGTTCCCAGGATTGCACTGCTAGTCTGAGACCATATTTGAGTTCAGATCTTCCTGACTCCAGGCATTGCCCTCTATCTACTTTACCGCTTAGCTGCCTCTGTACTGAATTTTTCTCTTTGTTGGTATTTTTCTATCATTTTCTTGGATATGTTACAAGATTTAAATTGTGCCAATCACTGAAGCTATCTCTGGGTTCTCAAAGGTTGTGTCAGTGGAACATGCAACTTCAAATCTGTATTTCTGTCTGCCAGTGTTCTCATAGGTCCCACCAAGATGGAAAGTTTTCAAATACAGGTCTAGGGATGGTCCATATGTCTTTTAGGCCAGAGCCGTCCAAGTTCAGACAGTCTCCTCTCCAGGTTGACTGCACAGTGATGCATCTTTCCTCCACGGTGAGTTAAAAACCATCTCCTAGCCATAGACGTCTTACAATTTTGTGTCTGTGGAAAGGGACCTGCTTGGACTAAATCACAGAAATTCTCTAGAAATTCACTAGAGCCAGTGACAAGAACTACAGAAGGCTGGCCCAACTGACCCTGCATGGGTGTACTTAATCTTGGGCATAGCAGCTACAGAAGAACCCAAAAGATGCCCCCATTGGATTTAACTCCTTTGATGCCTTTTCATGTGCAAGTCCATGCTCTGAAAGCTGCTGAAGAGTTGGCGAGTTTTCTGTCATCTTATGCCGAGGATAGAAGTTTTGAGGATAGCCTTTTAAGCATTGAGAATAGCAATGTTTTCTTCAAAGATATCTATCATCAGTTAATATGTGGGCATAGTTATAGAGACCAGTGCAGGCCCTAGTCTACTGGAGATCCATGGCATGATGCCAACGAGTGCATGATCAACCAGTCAGAATGTGGGAACATAGATCTCATCCCACCTGCCCTTGATACTCAATCACAGAGCTTGTTTCCAGCACATCTAGGCACCCCCTTTTGCCCTTTATCTGCCCAACACTTCCTTATTCTTACCCCTCCCTGGATGTGCAAGCTCCCAAACTCTACCTTTATGCTCAGGTGTGGCATTCTTAGGGTGGTTACAACCTAACTTCATGTCGGTACTCACCCAAGCATCATTGAAAAAAATCCCTTCCCTCTCCCCTGGTATATGCTGCGCCCCAGACTTCATGGCCAAAACGGGGACTTTGGCTGGCTCTGGGCTTATGGCAGCGACCAGGGAGTAAGAGTTCTCTACCCCACATCCTCAGGGTTTTTTATAGGACCATAAGAGCTCCCTACCCCCACATCCTCAGGGTTTTTAAAGGACTGAATCAGAATGGACAGGCAGGGAAAGAGTGTAGTCCGAATTACTGAGTTCATTACGTTCTCTTTCCCCCGCTCCAAACACATACCCCGGTCTTGAACTTCCTTGGTGGCTCTCACGGGTGCCACCATCCTGGTCACTCCTGTTCCCATCTCGCATTCATCCTCTGCTCTTCCCTCTTATTCATCCCTCCTATTCATTTGGTTGCCAAACCTTGCTGAACACCTCTCACAGATGTTCTCTTTTTCCTTCTCACACCACTATTATAAGCCCTTATCACCTGTTGCAATAATCTTTTCTGCCTCAGTTTTCTCCTTGCTCCAGTCCACTCAGCTGTACTTTTTCTCAAGTTCAAGACTGAGCATATCACTCTGTGACTTAATAAATTCTAGTGACTCACTATGTATGCCAAAATCAAATATTACTACATCTTAATCTGATTTATAATGTCTATTTTCTGTGTTATAATGTAGATAAATCAATGTACACACATTGGGAATATGTGCTCAAAAACTTTTTACTGATTGAGTACATGATCAAAAAAGTTTGGTGACCCCTGTTGTAGATCCCAAGGACAAATCTGCCACAGTGGCAAATGATGCCCTCTGCTAGGAATAGTTGTTCATCCAGGGAGTCAGCTGGTTACTACCTCACCTCCTTTAATGGAGGAGAGAGAAGTTGAGACAATTCACCTTCCTCCACTCTTTGCGGAGGTGAGGAACTGTGGCTATGAATTATTTCACATACTGTTAGTTACAATTGTCATGTTGATTGGATTTGCTGAACTGCTTCCTGCCTCCCATCCTTAACTCTTTAAAAATCTGTTACAAAGGATGGGGGTGTATGGAGTGTTCAGGAGGACTGGCATCTCTGGTGTGAGGGCTGTTCATTTACCTTTGGTGTCCATTTGTCACCCAGCTCTCACCTGTGGCTCTAAGAAGCTGTAATGTACATGTAACATGTCACATTAGTAGATGGGCCAAACCAGATTGAGGGTAACAAACAGCACTCAAACCTGTCAATGAGTTAGGGGGATGTCTACCCCAAGTATGTGAAGACCTCCCCTGGCGGAGTGGGTAGATGAGAGCAGTTTGTTCCCATGTCCATGAAGGCGGCTAAAGCAGGTGCTGTGAAGCACTTAGAGCTTGGTCAGCCATCAAAGACACCAAGGTCATCCTCTGCATCCCAAGCCATTGGCCAGTCATCCCAACTTTTGTCTTACCACTGGACTTCAATGACTCTGGAAGTGAGAGTGAGGCTGATGACTTTGTGCAGCTCTGCCTCACTTAAATCCAATTCATGTGATGCCGCAGGTCCTCTCCAAAAATGAAGGACAAGTTGGGGAATACTCACAAATGTGGTTGATATAAAAACTTAATGATAGAAAAAAAATTAAGAATGTTTAAAATGTTAGGGAGGATAAACAGTCCTAGCAGATTACATTCTAGAAGCCATAAACAGTGGCTTTTCCATTTTTTTCTCCAAAAGCACTTCTAAGACCAACGAGGGGCAAAGATTTGATACTTATAGAATACCCTGGAGAGAAAAAAAATGGACACACTAGTTATGTGACAATGGACAAATTACTTAACCACTTAGTGCCCTAGACAACTGTCTAAGAACCTAAGTTCTGGGAGTGTGGCTACTCCTACTTTTCCTGTCCTCTTAATACCTTGTTCCCCAACACATATTCTTGGATCCAGTGGCATTGACCTCCTGGCAGTTCCACAAACAAGACATTCTTTCTTTCAGCTCCAGGTATATTCTCTGGTTGTCCTCCATACTCAGAATTCTTTACTTCCTCTGGTCCAACTACTGACCTTCCTGACTTCCTTCAAGTCTTCTACAGGAAGCCTTTCCCAACATCTCTTAATTCCAGCACCTTCCCTCTTTTAATTATTTCCTATGTATCTTGTATATAGTTTGCTTTTTATATATTTGTTTGCATGTTGTCTCCCCCATTTGACTGTAAGCTCCTAGAGAGCAAGGTCTGGCTTTTTCCTCCTTTGGTATCCCCAGAACTTAGCACAGTACTCGGAACATAATAGGCACTTTATAAATGTTTATCAATGGATTGATTGACCCTGCATTGGTAGAGAAACTTTCAACACCAGGAATCCCACATACTAACAAAATCATAAGTTTGGGCCAAAAAGAAGCAAAAAAGGAAGGAATGTTCTTTGGGGCAGTTGAAAAGTACTTACTAGTGGAAATCAGGTTTCCAGATTCAGTGATGGAAATATAAATCTGGAACTCCTCCTAACTCACCTCACTCAGCATCCATAAGCAGAACCTAGCCTGAGGCAGGGACAGAACAGTGGAAAAAGCAGGTGAGCATTTTCTTCTCATTTCCCAAGAATTTCTGAAATTTTCTTATTTCTTAACTTTGATCTCGGGAGGAAATGATTCAGCCTTCAGGCTTAACCTGTCAGCTAAGTGACCTGGTGGCAATTTCCCATGTCTATGCCTCTCAGCCCACTCAGAGTCTGATCACTGGCATAGGTAACTTAGGATTGCTTCCTTATCAGAACTCGTTTTGGTTTCTTTCATTGCAAATCAAGTGACATTTTTAAGGTTGATACCATTCCTTGCAGATTCTTAATGCTTTCTACTTTGCAGCTGCTAGAATTTGGGGGAAAGATGTCATGTTTTCCTGTAGGATGGATTCTGCTTAGCCACAGTCAATAAGGGACTCCTGAAATTTCCCCTAGTCTTCATTATTAGTTTGGAGGTTTCCATAGAGCAGTGTCAAAAATGCCCATTTCAGGAGCTTTTTGGTATGACAAAAGCATTACCATCACATAAAATTGGGTCATATCTGCTTGATTTTCCATTCTCAGATATTTTGGGGAAAACTGTAAATCTCAATTCTTTTCTACGGATTTTTAAAAATTGAGTTTCAACCCAATTGAAACTGACATGATTAGTGTTTACTAAAGAACACAAACCAAATCCTTTTATCTGCTCAAATGTCTTTATGTATACTTCATTGAAAATAATATCAACATAGTCTAAGCATGACTGTATTTTTAAGTGTTTTAATTGTATTTATAGAGCAAGCAGATGGAGCATGGGATCTTCGTTATTGCCAATGGAGCTAATTCATGATTTTTTTCCCCCTGTGGAATAATTAAAGTTGAACATTGGAGTTAGAACTAACTTAGTACTCTACTGATCTAAATGAAAATAGAATATGGTTTCAAATGGTATCCCTGATATCTGTGTACCCTCTAATGTTCTCTGTATGCTCTCTTGCCTGTGGGTACCTAAAATCTCTTCAGTCTCTGTTCCTTTTTAACTCTCCCTTCCCCCCCTCCACTCTTTCTATAATATGGAATGAAAATAAATGTATGTGGATACATTTTGCACTTGGAAAGTTCTCCCACTGTCTTCTGTGATTCAGGAGAGTAGATGGTATACTCAATAGGCATTGAACCTAGGCAACCCAATTGGGCAATGTCTTGGAAAACAAAACAACCAGTTAATGGTCAGAATGTTTTTAAACCTTCCAGCCAGTTGTCTCTGCATTACATAGGCATAGCCTAAAACACTCTTTCTAAATTGTTGACTTGTTATGTTTGTCTAGAGAACTAGTTTCTTATGAAGCAATGTTTTTTCTCTCAATTGAGGAAGTTTGAGTATGTTTTGGTTATTGCATTTCACCTAAATACCCAGAAGGAAAAGGTCCATTTGTAACTATCTTTAAATCTCTAAATTCAAACACCAGCTTCATAGCTTCCCCATGTACTTGTTCCACAGAAACAACATTTACCATGGGTAATATCATTCAAGTGTTCGAATATTTTAATTTAATGCTTCACAAGTGAAACTTGTTATCTTGAAAGCACCAAAATGTTTTTAAACAGGCTCCTCTTAGTCTTTCATGTGATAGAGAATTAGTTTTTACCATCAACACTAAAATGACGTTGGGTGACTTCAAAATGCTGATAATTGTTCTTCTCCTTTAAATATTTCCAGAACCATGTGCAGGGGAGAAAATTCCATCATTGGACAATTAAAAGCTGAGAGTAAGTGATTTGCTTCTTATTTACCTTTGATTATGTTTGGTTACCAGGGAAGGAGAGCAGTGATAGGCTCATAGCAAATGGTATCCTAGACTGAGAGGTGGAAGAGCCCCTTGAAGAGCATTTGGCCCAGTCTCCTTGTTTCCCTAGTTGAGGAAGCTGAAACCCAGAGAGATACATTTACATGGCAATGATTAAATGGGGAGCAAGCATTAGATCCAGCATGCCCTCTGATTCTAAATGAATCCAGTGCGCTGCCCAATGCATCCAGCTGATAGTAATCTCATGGTCACCAATATGGGGGATGGAGGGGTGGTGGAAATGGGGATAACCAACAGCAGTTTTATCAGGAGCAGTCATGTTGTCACAGTTATCTATTTATAGATAACTGCTCTTGAACCAGTTAAGGCAGATCCCATTAGTGCAAATTACAAATCTCCTGAGGTGGTAGAATACATTTGAATTCTCACTCCTCAAAGTTGTAATCTTGTAAAATATGGTCATTGGTTATATTTATAACCTAATGGAAAGACAGTGCAACCACTTTAAGGAATTCATGGTTCATACTAATTGGGATAATAGCTAATATTTATTAAGTGTCTACTTTGTGCTAAGCACTATGCTGAGCATTTTGAAAATATTATCTCATTTGATCCTCGTAACAACCCTCCAAGATAGGTGCTGTTATTATCCCCATTTTACAGTTGAGGAAACTAAGGTCAGCAGAGGCAGAGATAGTTACCTTCTAAAATGATGGTGTTTATTATAATCTATTATCAACGTTATTAGATGGGTTCAGTTGGTGAGGGTTATGCCTATGCATTACTTTTGAATAAATTAAACTGATACGCCTGTCACAGCAATAAGAATTTTTCCATCTTTAATCTATAGTTGGCAATCAGTGGATAAATTACATATCATTCTGTGGACTTCGAACACATGCGGAACTGGAAGGAAACCTTGTCACGGAGCTGATTTATGTCCACAGCAAGTTGCTCATAGCAGATGATAACACTGTCATTATTGGTGAGTGAAATGATATCTAGGTCATTCACCCTGATGATTTCTGGAATAATTGTGATTATTCCACAGGAAGGCGCCATATTTGTGCGGGAACTCCCTCCACTCATGTAGATTGCAACCCACAGCCACCTTAGTCGATAATTCCCGAGGATGCTTGCAACCTGTTTGAGTTTGGAAACATTCCTTTATCTTCCTACCCTTTAGTTTTACTCATTTTACAACACGAGGGGATTGGAGTAAATTAGGAGAGCTAAGGTCCTTCCCACCTCTAAATCTCTGGATGATTTGATCTCTTTATGGCTGTTCAAAGTGGGGATTCCTTTCACATTGGTTAGACTTGAAGACCTCTGAGGTCTTTTCCAACTCTCAAATCTGGTGACTGTCTGAAATTCCCTAGTACGTGGAGCTGGCTAGGTCCTAGGAAGCATATGGTATAATCAGCAAGAAAATAACAATGATTTACACACGTCAATGCCAAGTTAGCCATTCCAGAAATGGTTCCATACTATTCAAAACAGAGAAGTATTTGTTTGCCACTTTGCTCCAGGTTCTGTCCTCTGGATATAACCAAAAAATAACCTTAGTGTTGTGAAGCAGACTGTCCAATTGGTAGTACAGGATGACCTCAGGGATCGTGTCTGAATGATTTTTTGTATGACCGCAGACCAAAGGTCCTCAAACTTTCCCTGATAAGGAGAATTGTAATGATGGACTAGTCCAGTGAAGGAAATGATGCAATTCCAAGAGTGTTTATCATTGACCAGTGTTGGGATCTGCCATGCGTTTACCCCATCCTAAACGATACCCACTTGACTTGATATAAGCTGTCTGTGCTCTATCTGCAAGGAAATCTGAATTTTTGTTATATTTGCCACATTCCACTAATACTTCAGAATTCTCTATGAAAGTACAGGAAAGAAGAATGAGCTGTTACCAATTTTTCCCATTTTTTTTGTTTGTTTGTGTTGATCCCCTTTGTAGTCACAATTCTACATATTTCTTTAAAGTTAAACTCAGGCTTCTTAGCTAGATTTGAGAGACATAAAGAAACTAAATCTTCTAAGATATATGGAGTTCCCCCTGGGTTTGTGCAGGCTTCTGCTGGAGCTCTATGTAGAGCCTTGAATGACTTTTCCTCATCTCATCCAATCTGTCATTGACCCCTGATACAGACACTCTCATCTAAGAAACCAAGTTAAAAGTCCAAATCTTCTGTACCCTAGGAAGTTCAGGAGGCCTTTCCAGCCCAGGTGGGGATGGGGGTGGGAAGAGGAAATAAGTAACAAAGCTTCTTCTCCAATCAATTTTTTTTTCCTCAGGGACTATAAAGTCCTTTCCTTTCCACTGCCAAAACTCTTTGGTTCCAATCATCTCAACAGTTCTATACAAGGCCCAAAAGGCATGACCAAGTCCTTCAACGACTCCAGACAGGCTTCCTAGGGAGATGCCAGCTCACAACCGCTAAACAATCCAGATCTGTTCTTACCTAATGGAATGTAACAGGTGGTTCCAAGGATTGTCTCACTTTTATGTCTGCATCCTCAGTGCCTAGGACTATGCTTGGCACATAGTAGGTGCTTAATAAATGCTTGGTGTTTGCTTCCTAGTGGAATGTAACAGGTGGTTCCAGGGATTGTCTCTCACTTTTGTCTCTGTATCCTCAATGCCTAACACTGTGCCTGGCACATAGTAGGTGTTTATCAGATGCTTTTTGAATGCAGGAATGAAGCTCCCGTGGCTTCACATAACCTACTCTCTGGCCATACAGGAAACTTCTTTCTCACTTCTCTCAAGGACACTCTTTGCTAACTACTCAAAAGCCTGAGTCCCGGGTTTATTTTTAGATTAAACTTGGCAGTGATAGCAGGGAGGGCAAAGCAGTTACTGCTGGCAAAACTAAAAAGGAAAAAAAAAATTGGCCAAGAGAAAAGTCTTTAATTCCGCTCGGCTCTACCTAGGTCCTAAAATGACAGTTCTGGATGTTTGTCATTTAAAGGTCATTTTGTCTCTCAGTTTGCTTGGTTTTACATAATATCCAAATGTAGAATAAATTTCAACTGCAGAACCAAAATTAAAAGAGATTAGAGGAGGAGCATTTGAAAAAACTTGGTCTCTGAACCCCCAAAGGCCAAATCGCATTTGCATTAGTCAGAATTGATAAGTTTTACAAAACAACTCTTCATTCACGACAAGGAAAATCTGGTTCCTAGAGTCTCAACAGGCCATTATTTACTGGTACTTAAAGGTTTGGCTTTTTTTTTTTTTTGCTTTCCTCCCAAAGAACAGCATGACTCATAGAAATGATTTCCTTTCTCAGAAAAAAAAAAAAAACTGTAGGTGTTTTGTTCTTTTTTATCTTAATAGAAAGGCCTGGCTCTGAGTAAGTGGACACACTGCTGGGGAGCCACGGTACTCTGTTGGCCTCCTTTGGAAGGAAGGAATATAAGGCAACATTTTCAGATGCCCTCTTTCACATAGCAACAGATAAGTCAGATTTTGACAGGGACTGAAGAGGCGTCTTCAAAAGTTTTCCAGACTGTGGGGAAGTATTTAAGGACCTTATCTGAAAGAGGTCAAAGACGCCTGTAGCTGAATTCTCGAGCATGGTGGCAAGAGGCAGGATAGATTTGGAGCGGCTCCCAAATGAAGTCATAAGATTTGAAGGGGGCCCCCAAATCTTTCTTTGTCCTTTCTCACAAGGAGGGTGCCCAGGGGTGTAGCATAGAGGCTGGAGCTGGAATGGACCTTAGGGTTTGTCAGGTTCAAAGCTACCATTTCTTTCATTTCTTGCTATGTTTTGTTTGGACTCAACATGCATTCGCCAACAAACTCCATCAGTACATTCCCTGGAAAAAGTCAGTTTACAGCTTCTTAAGAGGAGGGAGGAAGGAGGTTTTCTTTCATTTTTCTAGTGTGGTATTAACCTGGTACATTGCTATTGTTGAATCATTTTCAGTCATTTCTGGCTCTTTGTGACCCCACTTGGGGTTTTCTTGGCAAAGATACTGAAGTGGTCCGCCATTTTCTAGTTACTTTTCACTTCAGAGTTGCCTTCATTGTTACTGTTGTTGAGTTTTTAGGTTCTATTTCTTTACCCTTTGTTATTTATTATGTCTCCCCATGTTTCTATGAATTCTTCATACTTACCATTCTTTATCTGTAAAATCTGAGTTATAATAATAATAATAATAATAATAATTAATAATATCACCTACCTCCCAGGGTTGTTGTGGGGATCAAATGATACCATATACATACAGAGTTTTGCAAACCTGGTGCTCAGACTTTTCAGTTGTGTCCAATTCTTCATGGCTCCTTGCGGGGGATTTTCTTGGCAAAGATACTGGAATGTTTTGCCATTTCTTTCTCCAGCTCACTTTACAGATGAAGAAACTGAGACCAACAGGGTTAAATGACTTGCCCAGGGTCACACAGCTAGTAAGTGTCTAAGGCTAGATTTGAACTCACAAAGATGAGTCTTTCCAACTCTAGGCTCGGTGCTGATTGCACCACCGACCTGCCCCTTGCAAACCTTAACAAGCTATATTAATGCTAGCTATTACTCCATTCAGCACAGTAATATTTGTTTACATTCATGTACTGTGCGTTGTACAGGCAAGAGTTGTTGAACAGAGTTTATTTGCTATTACAAATAACATCATTGTGAAGTATTTTGGTACCACTGAGGTATTTCTTGCTTTCATTAGCCCATTTGGGATAAAGCTTCAGAGAGGATCTTTGGACCAAAGAATATGGACAATTAGGAAAAATTTTCTTGCTTAATTCCAAATTCAAATTGCAAAAATTCTATTAGTAATAGTTGATATTTCTATAGAACTTTTCAGTTTTGCTAAGTGCTCCCATCTGAGCCTCACAACAGCCCCATGAGAGAGATACTACTATCACTTCCATTTTACAGATGAGGAAATTGAAGATCAAAGAGGCTTAGCATAACCCCTAGTGACTTATCTAATTAGCAACTGAATCACAGTTCAAACCTAAGTCTTCCTGATTCTAGGGCCAGTTCTCTAACCGCTGTGCAACATGGTCATTGAATCTCTCTGAACCTCAGTTTCCCCATTTGTAACATGGAAATAGCACCTACCTCACAGGATAATTGTGAAGATAATGGATAATATATTTATCTACAAATCACTTTGCAAATCCTAAAGTGCCATAGACATGTCAGTTATTAGAGAAATGCAATGACTGGTCCAAGGTCACACAGATTGCCATTCACCATACCAGGATTCAAATTTTCACTTCACCACACTGACTCTCAAAAATAAAGAATTTGGGGCAGCTAGGTGGTGCAGTGGACAGAACACCAGCCCTGGAGTCAGGAGAACCTGAGTTCAAATCTGGCCTCAGACACTTGACACTATGACCCTGGGCAAGTCACTTAACCCCGATTGCCTCACTAAAAATAAATAAATAAATAAATAAAAGAATTTGTCTTCTCATTCCAGTGATCTCTTTTAATTACCCATTATTCTAGGCAGCTCTGCTTACCACGAACCCTGTGCATCTCACCATGGAGATTGCACTGTTAATCACGTTATATGCACCAAGTGAACTATTACCTTATTAGGTGAAAGTTGCAAAGAGGCAAAGTTTGCTTTGCCATTAGGAAAATCTTCCAAACAAAGACAGTTGTCCAAGAGTGGAATGGGTGGCCTTAGGAGGTAGTGATCCTCCCTGGCATTGGAGGTCTTCATGCAGAGACCACATGACGACCTGTTAGACATGTATGGGTGTATGTATTCATGTATTTATATATACATATATACACACATATAATATATGTATGCATGCATATATATATATATATATATGTATGCATGTATAGCTGAGAGGAAAGAGAGAAAGAGGGTGAGGGAGAGAAAGCACCTTCAAATTTACCAGGTATTTGCATGTATATTATCTCACTTGATTGTTGTTCAGATAGGGGTTGGGCTATGTAAGCTTCCTTCTAACTCTGATATTCCATGATTTTCCTAGAA